TAATTACATTGGAGGGAGTACAATGGGATATAGTCATTGTGCTTGGTATGCAGTTACAGTTGCTCGGCTATACTCAATCTCGACTATTGCGTCCTCGTTTGCACACCCTGGGCAACGTGAGCAACCCATGTGCGAGATGCGGTAACCAATTCGAGTGGAGCCTTGGGTAACGGCAGAAAGAGAAAAGAGAGAAAATCGCTTAGGCGATTACAGCGCCAAATAAGAAGAAGTTAATTACATAGCTTTTTTTTTTTTTTAAATAGGCAGCTGATTTTCATCAGTTTTTTTTCTTGATGGCAAATCGCTGCTTGCGTGCGATTTATTTTTTCAAAATACTATGTACAACCGAAGTGCTCTGATGACGCCCAGCTATAGAAATATTTCATTAATTTATTTAACTATTTTTATAATTAGAAACCTAATTGTTTATATATCTTTACAGGCCTACGACAGTCGGCAGCTGATGGTCACTCTATTCGTTTGCCTCTGGGGGGCACGGCTTTCTGGATATCTGCTGTACCGCATAATAAAGTTGGGCCGTGATAAACAGTTTGACGACACAAGACGCAACATAATCAGATACGCAGTCTTTTGGACCTTTCAGGTGAGCGTAAAAGTATGAATAAAACTTAATATGTAATCCTTTTTAACGCAAAATCGCACAAACACAAAAAAAAAAAACAACAGTCAGGCTGACAAACAGCTGGCGTGCTTATTGTAATACTTATTTTAATTTAACCTCCACAAAGTAAACTTTATGGCTTCGATAAAAAGTTTTATGCCGCAGATCATTTGATTGAAGAACGATTTCCGGGCTGAAATAGTGCACATACATACCTACATACATATGTATGTATTTACCCCGTAGGAAAAGCTACCAGTTGTGAACCATAATGCTACCAGTATGCGTTTCAGCCCAACTAGTTCACGTTGTATCATTTTTTAATGTTAGCGACTGGTATTTTTTAAAATGGCGGTGCCTTAGGAGATGTCAATTGTCCGCTCCTGCATCAGCATCCTACTAGTAGCAGTTGACGGGATCGACTGTCAATTCATCCCCCGTGAAAAGCATTAAGGCTCTGTTATGCATACTTGGCATTGCATGCACTGCTATACCATTTTTACGTAGAAATCAAAAACCAACAGACTTTTACGTATGTAATGCTGTGCGTTGGGTAACCGCTTACACGCGAAGCTCATTTAACAGATTCCTTATGTGACAACTCTCAAGCAATGCCAAGTATGCATAACAGAGCCTTAATAGACCAGTTATGCATACTTAGCTGTGCATGAGAGTTGTCACATAAGAATCTGTTAAATTGGCTTTGCATGTAAGCGGTTACCCAACGCATAGCACTTAACATGTAAAATTCTGTTGGGTTTTGATTTTTACGTAAAAATCGTATAGCAGTGCAAGTATGCATAACTGGGCTATAAGTACGCCATTTTGCTCGCGGCGCTGCAGCAGTGGTAATGGCCGACAGAGCAAAACTCGGACACGCGCCATTCGAGAGATCCGAGTTCGAATCTCAATGAGTGAATGTTATTTTTTGTTTTATTTATGTTTTCTTTTATTTATATCTTTTGTTGTAATTTTTAAATTGTTTTGTTTTAAAAAGAAGAAAAAAAAAATATTTCATTCAATTTTTTTATGGTATTTGAGTATTTGGATTTGTTTTCCAAATGAAATTAAATTTACAATTTATATTTTATATTTAAATTTAAATAATTTACTTACTTTACTTTAATCACCTCCAAGCGAACTCGAACCTGAGATCTCCGAACCAGAATTGGTAGTCTTCACTTGACGTCACAGCCGGTATTGGTGAGGAAAGCAATTAGCCGCAGGAGGGAAAAAGGAAATTTTTTTTTTTGCTTTTAACTCTATCGGCCGAAGCAGCTCCAACTCAGCAAACATAATAAATAAGAATTTGGCCCAAATAATTATGAGCCGCATTTAAGTTTTGGTTTTGGCAATTCAAAGACAGATGTCGCTGATCGTATAAGTTGTTCGAAATCGACGAAATGGTAGGCCGTCGCTTTAGCACATACTAGTTAACAAACTAGTACTTTTACTGGCTGGTTTGGCATTTCACTGCGGACAACTGGTATAATTATAGTACATGACGTTACTTCTTCATTTAATACCAGTTTTCGAACTAGAATTTCTACCAACAAGTTTACTTTTTTTCTACGAGGAACTGGTATAATTATACGTAGTTCATAACGAACTGGTATGACTTTTATCCTTAAATAATAGTTCATGAACTGGAATTTGTG